TGACAGAAATTCCACCTGGTCACAGTGGGTGATCTTTATGACATATTGCTTTAATCTCCTTGCTAGTATTTTATTTTAAATGTTTGCATCAGTATTCATTAGAAAAAATTGACCTATACTTTTTTCTCTGTTTTTGTCCTTTTCTAATTCCATGGCACCTGCCATATCTTTCCCCTTCTCTGAATTTATATAGTCAATACTCTACATCAAGCTCTCATTACTTCCACAATTAAAAATAATATCATAATTTATCTTTTTGCTTTTAGTCTTGACCCTCTCCAATCTATCCTCCAAAAAGCTGCCAAGTTATTGTTCCTAAAGCAAAGAACTGACTAAGTAACAATCCTATTCAAGAAGTATTAGTAACTTACTATCACCTCAAGTTAAAATATAAACTACTTGGGATAGAGTGAGATTTTGAAGGGTTTTGAATACCTTTCTTCTTGGAATGATTTCACCATAGTCCTCCTCAACCACTCTATATCCCAGTCAAACTGGCATTCTATTTTCCATACATATGCCTGGAATATTCTTCTTCCTCATCTCCACCTTTTGGAATCTCTAACTCCCTTCGTGGCTTAGATTATAAATCATTTCTATATATATCCTTTCTTGATTCTGTCAATTTTCAATACTCCACTCCTACTCCGGAAATACCTTTGTATTTATCTATCTATGCAAATATTTGTTTCTTCCAGTAGAGTTTTAGTTCATTTAAGGTAAAGAATGTTTTTCTTCCAGAATCCCATGAAGTGTTTTTCACATAAAAGACATTTAACAAATTATTGGTTTGAATTAGTATAATTCCTTTCTATAGTAATTAACTAGAGGGAATAATGAGTGATGAAGACTAATAATGTTATTAGTTTTAGGTTGCCTATTTCCCTTACATAGCTTTGCATCAATGTTGTTCCAAGAGGCTACTTGTATTTGGTACACTCATTTTAAAAAATGTATGTATGTATGTATAGGATTGGAATCCCATAAGAGTGGAAACATGTCTTTTTCCAAGGCCAGAAAAAACCTTTTTTTGTTCTAGTTCTCATTACAACTTAACCTTCTTTTGTCAAAATTGAGCCAGGGATTCTATTAAATGCAATCTGCCTTTAAACTTGCTGCAAGACCTTCATTCCAGCATCTCTGCCTCAACAAATTCAACCATACTTTCATATATTGCGTAGCTCAGTGGCTCAGTGGGTAGATTGCTTGATCTGGAGTCAGGCAGACCTGAGTTCAAATCCAGCCACAGACAATCACTAGCTGTAAGACTCTGGCCAAGTCACCTAACTTCTGTGTGCCTCAGTTTCCTTATTTATGAACTGAGGATAGAGTAGCAACTTCTTTACAGGGTTGTGAGGATAAAATGAGATTATAATTTTAAAGTACTAAGGACAGTGCCTGGTACACTAGTAAATGTTTTTAATGAGTTATTATTCTTATTATTATTATATTTCATAACCTCATGTAGTCCATTTGAGCCCAAAACGAATCATCAGAAGATTACCTGAGACTGATACAATGTTCATTTTTTGATCCTATAGATGTCATTGAGATACAAAACCACAATGAATTCAGAAAGTAAGCAAGAAATTGCTTACTAAACTAAAGAAATGTAGAAGTACAGCTAGGACATTCTCAGCCCTGATGACTGTTTTTGAAGGGTGTTCAAATCTAGTAGGAAGGAAGTCTTCCCTTCATCCCTGACCAATCAATCAATAAGCATTTACCACTAATAATAATAATAGCTAACATTAAGTAATGCTTAATATGTGTCAGGCACTGTGCTAAGCACTTTACAAATACTGTCTATTTGATCTTTATAACAACCCTGGGAGGTGAATGCTATTATTATTACCATTTTACAATGAGGAAACAGAGGCAAATATAAGTTAAATGACTTGCCAATGGTCACATAGCTAGTAAGTGTCTGAACTGGATTTGAACTCACATCTTCCTGATTCCGGCCTAGCACTTTAACCACTGTGCCACATAGACTCCCATGGTATGTGCTATGGGCTAGGCACTGTGCTAAGTGCTGTAGGGTACAAAGCAAAGGCTGCCTCTGCCCTCAAAGTGCTTACACTTAAGTTTATATTCTTAATTTTGAAATCTTTTCAGAATATTCTGAGCCCCATGTTGATATAATTTAGTAAAGCTATAAAATCCCCCTGTCCTTCCAAATATTTAGAAGTAGGGGAAGTTAGTGATTTTACACCATGATTTTGCTAAGTACCCTGTAATAAATATATAATAAAGTACTGAGGTTGAGTCCCTTAAGGTGTAGCCTATGTGAGGTGATCACCTCTCAACCTGTTACTCATTACCATACTCATTGTCATTATTTGAGAACTAAGGTAATCTATGTCTATATTTGGATATCTTTATTTATTACTAAAATTGAAACATGCCTCATTTATTAAACAACTAACTCTGTATCCTACCTGAGGTTATTAAATATTATCAACTTAAACTAAAGTAATCTCTTTTCTCATCTCATCTCTATGTATGTTTCTCTGTCTCTGTCTCTTTGTCTCTCTCTGTGTCTCTCTCATATCTATCTACCTAAATATCTATGCCTAATATCTCTTAGGCTTAAATTAATATCAAACTTATTGGTTATACAATTTATTAAGAGTATAACTGATAATAATACATCAATACAAATTATTTGAAGTATTTTAGTTGGGAGAGAAATGACAGTGAACATTTCCTCTATTTGTCAATATTACTCGACTTGTTTTCAATTCTGGAACACGATCTCAACATTCAGCTCTCAAGTTTGCAACCCAAGTTTCTGAAGAACCCTCATTTTATTTATTCACAATATAGTGGTTAAACTCAGTTCTTTCAGAGGATATGTTCTTTTTCTTTGTCCTCTTATGGACTCTGTACAGCAATAACTCTCCAAAATGACAGCAAAACAAACAAACACAAAACAAAAACAACTTTCTAGTCTCTCTACAGACTTCTCTTTATGATATTTCATCACAAGATAAGAATTAAAGTGCCTCTCTCAGGAAAGAAGTTTATTTCATCATTCCATAGTCTCTGCTTTGTCTATTTTTACTAATTTACCCTTTCCCCACCTCATCTCCTTTTTTATTTAAAAATTTGATGTTTTATTTATTTTCAAATTTTTTTCTTCTCTGATTTTCAGAATTTTTAGTCTTGCATTTATTTGTTATGTTTTTATTTGTTTTTTTTAGGTTTTATTTTAGTTGCATGTCCCATTCATTTGTCTATTCTTTCTCTTTCTTGTTGATAAACATATTTAGAGATATAAATTCCCTCTACCCCACAGCCTAAAACTGCTTTGGCTATAAGTTTTGTCATGTTGTCTCATTGTTGTCATTTTCCACATAAAATTATCTATTTTTCCTGTGATTTGTTCTTGGAGCCACCTATTCTTTAAGCAGGATATTATGTAGTCTGCATTTAGGTTATAATCCTGTTTTCAAATGTCTTTTATTGGTTTGAATTTTTCTAGTGTTATAACCATTAAAGGTTGAGTATAACGCTTCCACTTTTCTGCCTATGTTTATTACAAATAATAGCAAAGTAGAAGAGAAGTCTGATAGATCGTCTGAAAGCTTGGGAATTTACAGATTCATCTCCAGATTTAGATTTTTTTTTTCCCTTTCACTCAAAGCAGTTTTCTCTCTGCCATGAGAACTTGACTGGGAGCATAGTCAGAAACCATTACTGGTCAAGCTGAGATATAGACTGATAAAAATGGTAAAAATCAAAGATGGTAGAGGACTAGATCCCTGACTTAGACTGAAGCAATGGTTCCCATTATTTTGATGAGAATAATAACTGTTATGGTCTTCTCCTGACTGTTGTTAATTCAGACTACAGCGAGCTATGGAACACTAACCCTTGCTCTTCAACCCTTATATACCCCTTGTATAATTGGACTTTACTGCTCTTCATTCTTTGAATCTCGATTTTTCAAATGGTTTTCAAATGATTGATCCAGTCAACTTAACCATACAGTATCCTCATACCATTTTACTAATTCTTTTTTATTTGAAGGATTGATCTTAGACTTGGGGTGTCCTCAGCTGGCATGTGAATTTGGCTGATATTGAAAATTCACACACACACACACACACACACACACACATGTAAAACTAGGTTTCAATTTTGGCTTTCAATTGGTTCAGTAAATAGAATACCAGCCTGGAGTCAAGAAGACCTGATTTCAAACCCAGCCTCAGACAATTACTGACTGTGTGACACTCAGCAAATCACTTAACTGCTTTCTGCTTCAGTTTTCCCAATATTAAGTGAGAATACTTATAGCATCTACCTCACAGGGTTGTTTTGAGGATCAATGAAGTATTATATGTAAAAGTGCTTAGCCCAATGCCTGGCACACAGTAAGCTCTATATAAATGTTAGCTATCATTATCATTATTGTTATTATATTTATTATTATCCTTGCTCAGCTTTATGAGCTTTGGTTGACCTCTCTAGTCCCATCTCTCTTTTTTCTTCTATTCCTTATGTCTCCTTGACTCTGGATTCTAGTTCTTTTGGTGCCATGCCATCAAGAATAAATATACCAATGGGTAATTATAAAATGTTCACCTTGGTCATCTTGGCTCTATCCCTTTTGACATAAGAACTCTCCTAGATATAGTAATTCTCCTAATATGCAGTTTTCCTTTAAAAAAAAAATAGTGGCTTTAGATAACATATACAAAGTCGAAGAATTGGCATGAGTCTTTCCACAGGTTATTTCCAAACAACCCTGTTTGTAAATATTTGAGTCACTTAACACTATTGTTGAAGGAATTCCTGGCCCAGGAAATCTTCCTCCTTCATATCACTGACCAAGTGAAAACTGAGATCGTACATGCTTGAGTGACCTTCACATCATACTTCCTCTGGTACTCAGTCAGTGAAATAACCACAGACTCAGCTGACCAGAAGTCACCTGTTTTTACAGGATGCCAGGGGCTACCTATGCAGATCCCCAGGCTTGGATTGTAGGAGCAAGTTTTGGTGTCAATGTTTAACTCAGGTCCTTGATTTCTGTGCCTTTTTTTCTTTATTATTAACTCAGGAATATTTTTCAAGTTGCCCAGATTATGAGAACTCAGTTCACAACATGCATTTTTAAATCTTCTGCCTATGGAAAGAATGAACAAAGGTAAGAGATGCTATGTTATTGCTATTATGGAATTGTTATTTATCAGTTTAGGCTATTTGTTTTTCTCTGAAAAAATAAACTAGTAAGATGTATTATAAAACATTACCCTCTTTAGGTCTCAGTTTCCTCATCCTTAAGATGAGGGGGTTGGAAATAGATGAGCTCTGAATTCTCTTCCAATTCTAAATCTATGATCTTTTGGTAATCAGTTAAAATAATTAAAACAACTTCCTATTCAAATACTTTAAGGAGGAAAAAATATATACCGTATGATTTTGTTTAATATTTGTTAATTTTTAACCCCAAAGCTGTTTCTCATCAGTGTTTTCAGAATTTGTCACAAAAAACTAAAATTGAGATTGTGGACTAACACACACACACACACACATACACCCCATTAGGCTGTTTTACATCTATTGGGACTTACTGATGCTTCTTTCAAAAGCAGAATAATTAGATCATATACACACTATGTGCTTGATTTAATACTTCAAAAAGACACATAGTCTCATAGGTGTGGCTATGACTCAATTTGTAACCTTTTTATGACATAGTTTCATATATCAGAAAATTCAGCACTTGATATTATGTCTTTCCAAACTTTGTTGAGTGAATCCTTGGGTGAATTTGATCCTAAGTACTTTGTAAAAATATTTTGGACTCATCAGAGTTTATACTTTGCTCACTGGCTGTCATAATTATTGAGAAATCTGAGTCATCTTTATTCTTCTTTGAGGTACCAAGGCAGGACTTTAGTGGAAGAACATTTCTGTGTATGAGAGTTTGTGTATATATGTATGAGAACTATTAAAATGACTCTTGAAGCTGAGGAATTATTATTATTATATACAAGACTTTAGTTATATAGATGGACATCTATATTTCTCCTTTGACCAAAGGGAGTCTTATTTAAAAAAATATTGATCAAATCATGTGAAATAGCCCCAAAAGAGAGTCAATCTTAAATTACATTAAGAGAGATGTACTACCCTATCCAGAATGGGGGAACTGACTGCTCTGTACTCTGCCTCGATGATACCACATTTTGAGTATTGTGTTCAATTCTGAGCACCACACTTTAAAAAACACATTGGCATACTCTGATGAATACTTGGGGGAGGTTAAGAAGAATAACAACCATGACAAATGGGGATCAATTGAAGCAACTTGGAGTGTTTAATTTGGATGAGACCAACTTGGGGTGGGGAGTGAGAGCTATCTTCAAATATTTGTGGAAGAGGGATCAGTCTTATTTTGAATGATCAAGAGGGCAGAGCTGGGAGCAGCTGAATGGGTGTAGCTGAAAAGACCTATATTAAGATTTGACTTAAAAACAAACCTCTTAAATAGAATAATCCCAAAGTGGAATTGGCTGTCTCACAAGGCAGGAGCTTTCCCCTTGGTAGAGATAGTGAAGCAAATATTGCATAATTATTTATTGCAGAGAATATTACAGGTGTAATTCTTGGTCAGATATGCTTGGAAATGAAATGATTTCTGAGTTAGCATCCACCTCCAAGATTCTGTGATATATAGAGCATATTCCCTGACATTAATAAATTTATAATATGGAGAGATGATCCAATTTTATTACATTCACTTCAATTTAATTCAATTCACAAAACATGATAAGATATATACATATATATATATATATATATACTAGCCATGCATTAACAATACTGGTTAGCATATGATAATAACTAGGCATGTACCTTTTTTGCAATGCTTCACCATTATTTCTTCCCAAACAAAAGGAAAGAGCAAAGGAAACATACTTCAAGGTGCCCTCCCATCTGAACAATGCCAAGGCCCACATTTCCCTGACTAATCGGTGACATGTAGAAATAAAACAAGTGGCATAATTCAAAGGACTAGATTTACTCTGATCACAGATATTGCCAACAGACAGGCAGCCATAGAGTAAAAATAGCTTGCTCTGTAATAAACAAAATTAAAATGCTTTCTCCAAATGCATCTTTCTTGATTATTATGTTATCTCTTCTCATAGCAATTTGTGAGTAGCATATATTTCCGTCAGTCCCAGCATGTTTGCCTGGCCACTTGGGGGAAAATATGGTAATCTGAGTCACAAGCAAACAGAATATCTAAGATTCCTCTTGAAGTCAAAGTAAACCAAATTATGTTGTTTTCCTGTTAAGGGCTTCTAACCAGAAGAAACCAGCTTCTAAAAAAATGTTGCTTTTTGCAAACTGCTGACCTGGAGGATTTCTAATGCCTGAATGATTGCACTAAGATTTTTTTTCTGGCTAAGTCAATGCTGAGAGGTATACAGGGTACTTTTTAATTTCTATTCCTCAGGCCACATATGACCTGTGCTTTCTAAGGTGGTTTTATGTTGCATTAAATATAATGGGAGACTACTCTTATAGCTGCTCTTCAGTGAAGAATAAAAGGCCAAATAGAAAAGCAATTTATTTTGTCTTGCCAAGGAAACTTCTCATTTTGTATTCATAACTCCATTAATGTAGCTACCTACTTCCCTTTTGTCTTGGTATCTACAACAGTTAATAGAGATGGCACTCCATGGTTGAAGATGCTTAAATAAAGATTTAGGTTCCATAAATGATTTAGCACTGCATTTTTTTCTACATGTCTGAAATTCTATGAAATGACTTCATCTTTAAAGTATCTCATAACAAAACGAGACTCTTCTTTCTATAAACTGAATACTAGTTCTTTCTTAGGCTAATTACCATTTAAAAAAATTAAACTTTCTTTTTCATTATAGACAACAAGTATGAATATTTCAGTATACAAAGGAAGGAGAAGATTTTAGATGAAACTGAGAACCTATGTTATATACAGTTTTTTAAAAGTATATATTAACTGTCCTGCTTGACTGTCTCCATCTGAACTTTCTTGTCCCCTTTTATTTAAAATTTTTTTTATTCATGGCATATTTTGATTTCTTTCTCTTCCCTCCCCCACTTTTTTGTATTACTATCACTACCTATCAACTCCACTCTGTTCCACCCAACTTCATGGAAGTTCTTCCTTCTAACAAGCATCATTAAGTAAAACAGATTCATACAATGACTATTTCTGAAAACTTCTAGTCTGCCTCTTCTGGGTTGTGGTAAGTCTGCTCCATTATCAGTCTTCTGAAATCATGATGATCAAAATTCTTAAGGCCTTCACATTTTACTTTCAATTTTGTCTTTTCCATTAATGTAGTTATTGTAAAGCTCTCTATGATTTTCTGAATCCCTCCTTTTTTCAATATGGTTCAGCAACAATCCATTAGTTCATATAACAATTTCTCATCTATTCCCTAATTGATGGGCACCCATTTCATTGTCAGTTCTTTGCTATAACAAAAAGAGCTGAAACAAATATGTTTGGTGTATTTGAGTTTTTTCCCTCTGTCTATGACCTTTTTTTTTTTTTTTTGCTTTTTGGTGAGGCAATCAAGATTAAGTGACTTGCTCAGGGTCACACAGTTAGTAAGTGTAAAGTGTCTGAGATCACATTTGAACTCAGGTCCTCCTGACTCTAGCTGCCCTTGTCACTGACCTTTTTGATATGTAGACTCGATACTAATATTACTGGTCAGAAGATATGATGACTTTTTGAAAATATAATTCTAAATATCTTTCCAGAATGATTGGACTAATTTAGTTCCATCAAGAATGCATTAGTGCATCTGTCATCCTAAGACCTTAACTTAAAAAGGCCAAAGTCTCCCACTCTACCCAGAGTCATTTCCAGTCATCCTGATCTATATCTTTCCACTGGACCCAGATGGCCCCAGAGGAGAGAGAGTGAGGCTAGTGATTTTATACAGCCTTGCCTCACTTAAATCCATTTCACTTGCAAGTCATGACATCACCTACCCAATGTCATGGTCCTCTTCAAGAAAAAAGGACAAATAGCAAAACAAGTCCCTCCAAAAATTGCCATCTTTAGCAATGAGTCAGAACATTAAAGTTATTTTAATGTGCATTTCTTTTATTTTTAGGTTTTGGGTATATTTTTCCTTATTATAGGTATGTTACATTTCTTCTTTTGAAAACTTGCTTTTCATATTGATTTACCATTTATCCATTAGGAGATATACTCTTGTTCTTACATATTTGGATCAATTTCCTATATATTCTAGATATTAGACTTTTATTACAGAAATTTGCTGCAGGCACTTTTCCAAGTTGACTCCTCTTCTTCTTGTTAAAACTGCATTGGTTTTGTTAGTGCAAATTTTCCAATTTTATATATTTAAAATTGTTCATTTTACCTGTTATGATCATCTCTAACTCTTATTTAGTCAAGGATTTTCTTCCTATCCATGATTGTGAGAAATATAATATCTTCTCCTACAATTTGTTTAAGATATGACCTATTATATTTAGGTCCTGCATCTATTTGGAGCTTATTGTGGTATACAGTGAGAGATGTTGGTCTAAACATAATTTCTTCGAGATTATTTTCCATTTCCCCTGGATATTTACATAATAACATTAATAATAATGATTGTTATGACAAATGATAATTAAGATATGTGTGTAGCACTTTATGATTTGGAAATGAATTATATATTATTTCATTAGTCTTGGTTGGTGCTTTGGTTTTATGAAACACTATGCTAGAGATTGCTTCTTGATCTTTGTTGTATTTGCTTAATTTGTTTTGCTATTGAAACATTACATTTTTAAATCCAGATAAATAGTTTTGTTTGCATAGTTTGTGATCTAGTACTGCTAAGCCCCATTAATTTCTACTTTTTTCATTATTTCTCTGGAGATTCTTGATCTTTCATTCCTCATGATGAATTTGTTATTATTTTGTCTAGTTCAATAAAGTAATTCCTTGGTAGTGAGGTTAATATAATACTAAATTTAAAAGTTAATTTAGGCAGCATTGACATTTTCCCTCATATTAGCATTGCCCAACCATGGACAAAATCTCTTCAATTATTTATCTTCCTTTATTTCTGTAAAGAGTATTTTTACTTTAATCCCTATTATTTCTCTGTGTGTGTG